TACCTTCCATAAGAATATTCAATTCGGTTAACGAAAAAAATTCGTTTAACGAATTCCTTACAAATTTTTCCCAACATGTTTTCGCTTGCTCATCAACTGTAGTATTAGTCCGCCAATACAGTAATCGGTTTTAGGGCTTAAATTCGTTACCATTTGAGTAAATATCAAGAAGGTTGTACTATTCAATAATTTTCCAAGTCTTATATTCAAATTTTTAGTCATTTTAACAATTATTTTACATAATTGAAGTACTGTACAGGGAACTAGTTTTTAGCGCGCCAAACAGCCACTTGACTCACCCAGAATGGCGTCAGTTTGTGTCTGCTCAGTGGAGGAAGCATCTTGCTTGAGACTCTCTTGAACATAAACTATTTTTACGTTTTTACAGTACAATTATTGGTCATTCTGAAATTTATTTTACATATTGACAATATATAATGCAGTGCAGTGTTGATTTAAAGAAAATAATCTTGAATCACACCAAGTGAACTTAAAATTTTATGGGTAAAATTGCGGCATGAAGCATGGGGTGACTTCTCTTCCACCCCACTGCCTTCTCTTCTCCCTTCTCCTCCACCCCCACTTCTAATTTCCATCATCATCATCAACCAGGAGCCTTCTACATGCACACCTCAAAGTAAGTGTACTTTACTGCATTTATTTTTAGTTTGTATGTAATTTTTGGTGAGCTGGACCAATTACCCAAAATCCCATTGAAACAATGGTTTCGGTTAACAAAATTTTCGGTTAACGAATGACCATCTGGAACGAATTGTGTTCGTTAACCGAGGGACCACTGTACTGTACTCTACTGTACAATACTGTACTGTACTATAGTATCCTGTACAATACTGTACAGTACTATACTATCCTGTACAATACTGTACTTCTAGTATTCGCAGTGGGGGATGTAAGTTATCAATAAACAGTGATGCCATTCGACCTGACAATTGCACCAAAAGCGTTTACAAAACTGGCGAACATCCCCAGAGAGATCCTTGCGAAGAAGGGCATAAGAACTTTTGCTTATCTAGACGATTGGCTGATAATGGGAAACTCCTTCGAAGATTGTCAAAGGGCGACCCAACATACTCTAGTACTATTTCAAAACCTAGGATTAAAGATAAACCAGGTCAAATAAAATCTCATACTATGTCAGAAATTGGATTGGTTAGGTCTCCATTGGGACATAAATCAGCAGTCAGTCAGTCTACCAGGAGCAAAGGTAACAGATGTGATAGACCATGTAGAAGCCTTTTGTGTAAAGAAAGAGGTTTATTGGCATGATTTGGAAAAACTACTGGGTCTGTTGAATTTTGCCACAATAGTAGTTCTTTTGGGTAAGTTAAGGAAGAAGCAACTAACTCATCTGGGGTTGAATTTGCTTCACAGAAACAGAAATTTTACTTCTTCTCTCCCTATTCACAAGAATCTTCTGTCTTGGTGGAAAAATTGGGACAATCTAATCGGTTCATCTCCCTGGGTTCCACCTCAAACAGACTTGGTCGTTTGTACGGATGCGTCCAAAATAGGATGGGAATACCATTCCTCAAAAGGGGAATTCAGTCAAGGGAAGTGGAGCAACTCCCTTTGGGACAAACACATAAACATAAAAGAATTAGCAGTGGTCCTATTCTTTTTGTTGGCAAACCCAAATTTAAAAAATATGACGATCCTGTTTGCCATGAACAACAAAACGGCAGTGTTTTGTCTCAATCATCAAGGCTCAACCAGATCTTGGCCCCTTCTAAAACTGTCAGAAAAAAATTCAAAGTTTGTGTAACACAAACACTTAAAGCAACTCATATACCGGGAGTACAAAACGATTGGGCAGATGCGTTGTCCCATCTCAGGCCAGTATCGACTGAAACAGAATGGTCCCTTAAGGTATCAGAGTTCAAGAGTCTAGTGAGGAAGTTTGGAATTCCAAAAATAGATCTCTTTGCCTCCCTAAAAATTACAAGATGCCACTTTATGCACCTCTGGAACGATCGAATCTTTTAAGAAATGCTTTACTTATAGATTGGAACCGTTGGAATTCAATCTATCTGTTCCCATCTGTGAAAATGTTGCCCAAAGTGGTTCACAAACTCAGATCCTTCCAGGGAAAGGTCCTCTTAATTGCACCATATTGGATCCTACAACCTTGGTGCTTGGATCTGTTGGACTGGTGCCCGCATCCACTACAATTGCAACAAGGATATCTAGACCAGGTACTGCATTGTCAGTTCGAGATATCCTTGGCACTTCACGCTTGGAGTTTCTCAAAGGGAGTTTAAATAGATTGTTGGGTAATTCCAATATAGCTAACCAAGTAATAGCAGGTCATAGACCCCAAACTTCTATGCAATATGAGAAAGCTTTGAAACTTTTTCAACAATTTGTGTTAGAATTTTTAGAATTTTTGTTCAGAGTTAAAGGCTTCAAGGATCAACACTTGCATCTTATAAATCAGCATTGGTTGACCCTCTGGCTTGGGGTTTTAATATTACTTTGAACCCAAGAATTTATCAAATGCTCAGATCGTCCTTTTTCATTCTGTAACCCCCTCGGCCTAAGAGAATCCCATGGTCTGTAGAAAAAGTTACTAAATTTCTTATGGGGCCTAATTACAATATAAATCTGAACTAGGATAGATTGCTCCAGAAGGCAGCCTTCCTTCTAGCAATAGCAACAGGTATTTTCTGAGGAAGATGTTACCCTTTTTTCCAACGGAGATTCTTTGAAAAAATGAAAGGGAAGATTTTCAAGCTCAACCTATTAGGATAAAATGGCTAATGGATGAGACAAGGGTTCCTCATATATTGTGCCCGATTAAAAATCTTCAGGAATGGTTAACCAGATTCCCTAATCGAGGCCCCTATGTATTCTCATCACAGGATGGTAAGAAATTGTCTCCTAGTCAAATGACAAAATATTTATCTCAGTTGGTGAATCAAGCAGACCCTGGCAAGAAATTTTGGCACATGACACCAGGAAATATGCAGGGTCTGTGGCCTTTCTGCGGCATATGAGCCTCAGTCAGATCAAAGAAATGGGCTTTTAGAGATCTTCAAAAACCTTTCAAAACAGCTATGTTCATCTATCTCTGAAAGATGCTCCACAAGTGGTGGTGCTGGGGTCCCCTCCCCCACCTAGTCAATCTCCACAACCAGGACCTTCTTCTTCCTCATCAGAATAAAGTGAGTATCCTAATTGGATATGTAAATTAACATTTTACCTTCCGGTAAACGTTCCTAATATTGGAAAATATTCCAAACGGATTATAATCATAATCTGGACCTAAGCTAGCGGAGCCTTGTATGCAACGTCACCTCCCTCTCCACCTCCACCTCCTGCTCGGATATTCAAGCTAGGTGTCACATTCTGGATTGAACAAAAAGTCATTTTTTTCTAAAAACCAGTTTTTGTGATATAGTCCAGAATGCGACGCCGATAACCCACCCATCTCCACCCCTCGAGAGTTGACTTTTGTTTACTGCTCGCTCTAAGGCAAAAGATGACGGTGGCAGTGCGTGTGATGGAGGGTGAGGGAGGGGGTTTTGAGAATTGCAATTAAATGCCAGGTAGCGACGTGTCCTCCTAATATTACGTTTTAAGTAATTATTAGGTGTTTTAATTGCCTGTATGTTGGCCTGGCGAGTTATTGCTAGGCATTAACATACCTAGGTATAAGCTAGGCGTTGCATTCTGGACTATATCACAAAAACTGGTTTTAAGAAGAAAAAACGGCTTTTTTTTCGTTAACCAAATTCAAGATCCTTATGAAAGGTAATTCGTTAACAGAACCGTTCATTAACTGAGGGACCACTGTACTGTACTGTACTATACTATACTATACTATACTGCACTATACTGTACTATACTGTACTGTACTGTACTGTAGTATACTGCACTATACTGGTACAGTATAGTACAGTACATTATAGTACAGTATAGTCCAGTGCAGTATATTACAAATACAGTATAGTACAGTACAGTATATTACAGTATAGTAGAGTACAGTATAGAACAGTACAGTATAGAACAGTACATTATAGTACAGTACATTATAGTACAGTATAGTCCAGTACAGTATATTACAAATACAGTATAGTACAGTACAGTATATTACAGTATAGTAGAGTACAGTATAGTAGAGTACAGTACAGTATAGAACAATACAGTATAGAACAGTACAGTATAGAACAGTACATTATAGTACAGTACAGTATAGTACATTACAGAAAAGAGCAGTACAATATAGAACAGTATAGTACAGCACAGTATAGAACAGTCAGTATAGTACAGTATAGTACAATACATTATAGTGCAGTGCAGTACTCCTGTAAAGTGCAATACAGTACAGTACAATATAGTAGAGTACAGTATAGTACAATATGGTACAGGACAGTATAGTACAGTACAAAAAGTTCAATACAGTATGTATAGTACAGTACATTATTGTACAGTACAATATAGTACACTAGTACAGTATAGTACAGTGCATAACAGTACAGTAAAGTACAGTGCAATACTGTACAGTATGGTACAGTACAGTATGCTATGGTATAGTATACAGTAGTACATTACAGTATGGTACAGTATGGTACAGTATAGTACAGTATGGTACAGTACAGTATGCTATGGTACAGTATACAGTAGTACATTACAGTATGGTACAGTATGGTACAGTATAGTACAGTATGGTACAGTACAGTATGCTATGGTACAGTATACAGGAGTACATTACAGTATGGTACAGTATAGTACAGTATGGTACAGTACAGTATGCTATGGTACAGTATACAGTAGTACATTACAGTATGGTACAGTATGGTACAGTATGGTACAGTACAGTATGCTATGGTACAGTATACAGGAGTACATTACAGTATGGTACAGTATGTTACAGTATGGTACAGGACAGTATAGCTCTCAATATAGGGATTATTATAATGCATTGATAAGTTATAATGCTATGATTGTGGACCTTTGGTTCACCTTTATGCCACTTAGAGATGGCTTTGTTACCTGTAGTGTACAGTACAGTACATCTCATATTGACAGAACACCAGAGTGCGACCACGCTGGATCTGGTGGGGGAGCAGGTGTGGCGAGGTGCTCTCTTCCTGGCAGACTTTATCCTACACCATCCTGAAATCTTCCAAGATGCTCACGTCCTGGAGGTCGCCTCGGGGGTTGGCCTCACCTCTGTCGTGACAGCCATGTTGGCCAAGCAAGTCATTGTCACAGGTCAGAGTTTCTTTCCAGATTTTTTCTATGTTTATGACAATAGCCCTTCTCTGCTGCGTTCACCTACACAGTAAAAACCTCAGTCTTGTAAAGCTTCCCTCATGCTTACACTTATATTTATGTTTGACTGTACATATCTTTGTAAATGTTAAGACCATCATAATGACAGAACTATTTTGTACAAGATACCATTTTAAGTAAAATATTGAATTTTTCAATTACAGTCGGTCCCTGATTCATGAAGATGTGAAGTTATAGAAAATAAAATTTCCCTGGTTTGAATTTACATTTAAAAAATCCCGGGCTACTTTTTTTTCAGCACTGAAAGGTGTTGAAGTGATGACACAGGCACCTGTACTGATCCTGGTCACTTTATAAAGACAAATAAATTAAAAGCAACAGACAGTACACTACTATGCTGTATTAAGAGAGGTTAGCCAAACTCACATTCTCCTTTTAGGGCAAGCCATACTTACCACTACGTCTGTCTGCCTCTCTACCACATCACCACATACTTTTTATCATATCTCTTCTACCACATCACCACATAGTTTTCATCGTGTCTTCTCTACCACATCACCACATAGTTTTTATCATGTCTTCTCTACCACATCACCACATAGTTTTCATCATGTCTTCTCTACCACATCACCACATAGTTTTCATCGTGTCTTCTCTACCACATCACCACATAGTTTTCATCGTGTCTTCTCTACCACATCACCACATAGTTTTCATCATGTCTTCTCTACCACATCACCACATAGTTTTTATCATATCTTCTCTACCACATCACCACATAGTTTTCATCATGTCTTCACCACATCACCACATAGTTTTCATCGTGTCTTCTCTACCACATCACCACATAGTTTTCCTCGTGTCCTCTATATGTTGAGAAGAGGATCAACAGAACAGCTATAGTACACAGAAACTGGCATTAAACACACTCACTTTAATACTGTGTGACCAAAAGCTGTGATGGAGGGTGTTGGTTCCTTGTACCCTCCCAGTGTAGACTTTGTATTGTACAGTAACATAAGAAGGTTAAAATCTCAGAGCACAAACCCAAAGACATAATTATAATTGATGTTTAGTAAAGTGAACAGTGTAGAACCTAGTAACATCAACAGCAACCCACAAGTGATGCTGGCTGACTTGTCATGACAACACAAAGTGTGGGACATCAGAAAAAAATTTATGAATGGAAAAAATTGTTGCAGATATTGATCACCGGGATATATTGTTGCAGTTGTTGATCAAGGTCATTCATATATTGTTGCAGATGTTGATCGCGGGGACATACTGGATCTCATTAACCGTAACATCAAGAGAAACGCTGATCTATTGAAGGCAGAATTAATGGTGAAGGAAGTTGACTTCTTTAATCACGCCACCATTGACGACATACAAGATATAAAGAACAACGTGTCGGTACTTTTGGCTGCCGATGGTAAGGTTTTTAATCTCATTGTTACCACCTGGATGAGTCAGTACAGGTACACACTTTGGACCACAGTAATACATGTTAATTGTTGTTAGTGTGCAGTAACCAGGAGGATAAAAGTTTTCAATACCTTACAGTACATTCATGAAGAAGATAAACTAATAAACATTTGTTTAAGATTAATTAAGTTAAAATTGTCATAGCAAAAACCACGAGTTAGTTTAAACGTTTTCTCTCCTCAGTGATTTACCACGATCAACTGACTGATGCTTTCTTTGACACTATATTGCGTCTGATGAGCGACCCACCTAACAAGACCTTGTATGTAGCACTGGAGAAGAGGTAAGACTCACATACTGTGTACCTATCACTTAATCAGATACATATTTATGCTCTTTTTTTGTTGTTGTTTTTCATTATGTTACAGGTCATTGTAAGTGTCCCATGAGAACACTGTCATTGAACCCCCTCCTTGTGTCAGTGTCCTTCTGTGATGGCTTATAGTTCATTGGTCGGTCAGTCTCCAGGTAGACAAGGATGGTCGGTCACTCTCCGGGTAGACAAGGATGGTCGGTCACTCTCCGGGTAGACAAGGATGGTCGGTCACTCTCCGGGTAGACGTAGACGAGGATGGTCGGTCACTCTCCGGGTAGACGTAGACGAGAATGGTCAGTCACTCTCCGGGTAGACGTGGATGGTCGGTCGCTCTCCAGGTAGACGAGGATGGTCGGTCACTCTCCGGGTAGACGAGGATGGTCGGTCACTCCGGGTAGACGAGGATGGTCGGTCACTCCGGGTAGACGAGGATGGTCGGTCACTCTCCGGGTAGACGAGGATGGTCGGTCACTCTCCGGGTAGACGAGGATGGTCGGTCACTCTCCGGGTAGACGAGGATGGTACCCGAGCTCCACACACTGACAAGAGGTGAAAAGATTTACTTCTTTTGAACTTTCTTGGCTGTTAGTTGAGTCCCTAGTCTCAGTCACCAGGATAATTGTTTCCAGGATACCTCGTCATTCTCTGTGTAGGTCAAGACAGTTCACAATTACTTGCAGTTTTCAAACTTATTTAATCAACAGTCTCTGTTTGTAAGCCATCAGTCTAGGGCCAACACATGATGTAATTGTCAAGGCCATTAATCTTTTACAGAAAGTTGTATGTCTTGCACGTTGATATTGTGTTATTTCAATATAATTAATGTGCATTTATTTACAAATTTGGTGTTGACTTTATTGTGAATGTTTATAAGCAGGGTTGTTATGATTTAAATCAAATGATTTAAATCAGAATAAAAAAATCATGATTTAAATCAAAATGATTTTTTTACTAATAACTGTTTTCTCTTTTTATTCTACATGATTGAAAAGTATATGCAATGCAACAGGCTGATAACATGAAGATGATTATAATGCTAAGATTAGGATATGTTCCACCTAATAGACATCAAATTGGAGGGTCTCTTTTGGATCAAGCCTACGATTCAGTGATTAAGAATTATTCAGAAGAACTTAGTGGGAAAACAGTTTGCATGGCCAAGGATGGATGGAGTAATGTCCATAATGAGCCTATAGTATGTGTAACTTTAACAGCGGACAACCTTATTTATCTTGTTGACTCTATAGACACAGAATCAAGACATACAGCTGAATATCTGTTGAAATTAGCTGAATGTGCTACAAAAAAGTGTGAAGACAAATTTGGATGCACAGTAAGAAGCTGTGTAACAGATAATGCTGCTAATATGGCAAAAATGAGAAGTGAATTCGGACAAGATAAATCCATTATAACATATGGTTGCTCTGCACACCTGTTAAATTTGCTTTCACAAGACCTGCAAATCAAGAACATTAAGGAACACATTACTGAAATCATTATGTACTTCAGAAATCATCACATCCCAGGATCTTTGTATAGAAGAGCAGGAGGAACAACGCTAGTAATGCCATCAGACACACGATGGAACACAGTGACAGATTCTATTGAATCTTATTTAAAGAACTGGGAGACCCTTGTCAAAGTGTGCAAAGAAAATAGTGAAGACATTGATTAGAAAATTGAAAGGAAAGTTAATGATAAGGCATTGAAAAGAACTGCAGAAGACTATTTAGAGAGACTTAAGCCTATTGCTGTGGCATTGGACTGTGTCCAGAGAGAACATAACCCTATTAAGTGATGCTGTAGAAATCTGGGTAAAACTGAAAACTGATATTAAGGAGTATTTAACAGATAAGAAGGATATGGATTGTATGTATATTATGTACAGTAGTACCCCGATTTACGCGGTCAATTGAACCACAGAGTACCGCGGAAAGTGAAAACCGCATAAAGTGAACAACAGAACATATGGGATTAATTCCAATAGAGACTGGCCCGACCCCCAAACTCCACTTTTTCCGACACAATACCTATGTTGTAGTAAAAATAACATCTAAATCTTATGATGGTATGCTCACACAATTAATATTTAAGAGAAATACAGTCGCCAGGTTAATGTCCATTCAAATAATGGACCCAATTCCCCTCTTCCCAGCTCACTGGCCCCTACCTCTCTGAGATATGATTGAGTGAAACACTAGATTTTAACTTTTAGTAATAAATAATACCTCAGACTAAAGTTAGGATAATATAATTGACATTTCTGGATTCCTTGCAGGCCAGGGAATACAGTCAACCCTCACTTTACGCGGTTAATGTAACCCACAGGGTACCGCGGAAAGTGAGAAACGCGTAAAGTGAATAACATAACATATGGGATTAAATGAAATAGAGACCAGCTGACCCCCAAACTCCACTTTTTCCAACACAATACCTATGTTCTAGTAAAAATAACATCTTAATTTTATGATGGTACATGCACACAATTAATACTTAAGAGAAATAGAGAAATACAGTCGCCAAGTTAATGTCCATTCAAATAATGGACTCGACTCCCTCCCCCTCTTCTCACACTACACTGCTGGCTCTTCCCTCTGAGAAATTTTTGGGGAAAACCAGGTATAGTAATAAATAATACCTCAAACTAAAGTTAGGATAATATAATTGACATTGCTGGATTCCTTGTAAGACCAGGAATATTTTGAATATAAATGTCATATATTTTTCACAAAAGATAACATATTTACTCAGAGTTAACATTACATCTAAAATTTGTATGTCTAATGCAAAATCCATGATGTTTATATTCAAAATGATCATCATATTGTAAGAATTCCAGCAATGTAAATTATATTCTGGCCGGGTAATTTGTATGAATTTTATGAGCTAAAACATATATCTTCATTAAATAAATAAAGAAATGTTCTTCAAGGACACTATCTGTCAATCAAAATACTCGGCCCTAGCTGGGTGGTCCCTCCCTCCCTCCACCTTCCCTCCCTACCAGAGAAGCTTTGGGAGAAAATAGTAATTTACATTTTTAGTAATAAATAATAACTCAGACTAAAGTTAGGATAATATAATTGACATTTCTGGATTCCTTGCAGGTCAGGGAATATTTTGAATGTAAACTTCATATATTTTGCACAAAAGATAAAATACTTGCTTTGTGTAAACCAAATTATTACATTAGATCTAAAATTTGTATGTCTAATGCAAAATCCATGATGTTTATATTCAAAATGATCATCATATTGTAAGAATTCCAGCAATGTAAATTATATTCTGGTCCAGTAATTTGTATGAATTTTATGAGCTAAAACAAATATCTTCAGTTAATAAAAAAAAAAATATTCTTCACGACACTATCTGTCAATCAAAATACCCCATCTTGCCTCCCCCCCTCTTCCAACCGCGCCAGATGGTCGGTCGGTCCCAACCCTCCCCCACCTTCCCTCCCTACCAGAGAAATGTTGGGTGAAAAAACTAATTTTAACTTTTAGTAACAAATAATACCTCAGACTAAAGTTAGGATAATATAATTGACATTGCTGGATTCCTTGTAAGACCAGGAACATTTTGAATATAAATGTCATATATTTTGCACAAAAGATAACATATTTACTCAGAGTAAACATTAGATCTAAAATTTGTATGTCTAATGCAAAATCCTCTGTTTATATTCAAAATGATCATCAAATTGTAAGAATTCCAGCAATGTAAATTGTATTCTGGCCGGGTAATTTGTATGAATTTTATGAGCTAAATAAAAAAAAATAATTATACTTCACGCGTATATGAGTAGATGAACCGCGTTAAGTTAAAGTTCGGTACTGGCGAGGCACTGCGTATATGAGAAATCGCGTAAAGTGAAACCGCGTAAAGCGGCAAATGGGGGTGGGGTGGGGGGGTGATGATAGCAGCTGTGTTTATTACCGGGGTATATTGTTCTTTTACGGTATGTTAGACTGGATTATAATACATTTTTATTATTTTAATATACAGGTAGTTCTGCTATAACGCGATAATTGTGTTCTTGTAAAATATCGTGTTATAGAAAATCGCGTAATAGAAATAACAGGGCTTATGGAGAAAATAGGGTTAGGTGCAGTTTACTCGAAATCGAAAAAATTTAGTAGTTAGCCTAACACAAAGGATAGCACAGTCTAAATAAATGTTACATTCATATCTAATAATGAAATCATACAGTAAATTTAACACTTTACCTTGAAAAAATATGAATGTAACTTGATGGGGAGAAGGGTGATTTTGAGGTTGATAACATCAAGCTTCTCTTCAAGTGTTATATCCTTTCTTTTACGATAATCACCGGGAATTCTATCATCAGAATGCTTTTTGGAGATATTCTTCTTTACCATATTCACAGTTAATACCACAAAATTGGAGAAATAGTAAGCAAAAATCGCGTTATAGCAAACAAGCGATCGCGTTATACAAATATTGTTCCGAATTCATAAATCGCGTTAGAGCAAATTCGCGTTATCAAAACACGCGTTATAGCAGAACTCACTGTACCGGTAATCTTCATTTTAATCCAGCTTCCCAAACGTAAGTTTCAGTATAAAATAATTAGTGGTAGGACCTTGTGAGTGGTTTACCATGTTTCCATCACCACTCTTGACACGCTAAACCGCAATATTTAAGAGGTAAGAATTTTATCTTTGGTGCTTAAGACGACCCCCTAACTTTGGGCTGATTTTTTTTTTTTTTTTCAAATTCCGTCTTGTAGGCCGAGATATACGGTACTCTGTATATACACATTATTTCTCTAGTCAGTAGCGTGTGGCAATGCCCCTGTTTCATGTCACCACACGCTTAGATAAATGTGCCTGGCAACATCTGGAAGCTGCTAGTATACCAATTGCCACATGTCGCCTGAGAGGTCAGAGTGAGGTCAGTTGACCCTATAGGAGTGTAAGGACTACCTGCGCTTGTAAGCGCACTCCTGTATATTTCCGTTAATAAGAACCTACAGAACTCTACAGGCGTTTATGTTCGCCTCTGTAGTTAGAACCAAGTACCCCGAACATCTCCATGGATAATTTTGAAAAAAGAATCAAAGTAGCATTGACACCTGCCCATTTTCTAGCTAATGTGATAGATCCAAGGTATCAGGGCAGACATCTGACTCCTGAGCAGCGAGACATTGCAGAACAGTATGTGTGCGAGTCTCTTCCACATTTCCTTTCAACATTAATGTCCTTCCATGGAAGAAGTGCACCATTTAAAGAGGTCTATTTTGGTAAAGATGTTGTAAAATCTCTCTCACCCCTTGCTTGGTGGCAGTATTTTGCCAATGATATGACAGAAAATGTAATGCATGTTCCTAGGCAATTATTTATAGCTGTTGCATCATCAGCAGGGGTCGAGAGAATTTTTTCCACATATGGATTTGTACACTCAAAGGTAAGAAATCGCCCAGGACAGGAAAAGGCATCTAAGCTTGTCACAGTACATAAGCATTTCCATGTTCAACTAAGTTAATTTAAATGTTTTGAACTATTTTTGTTGTTTACAGAATGAGAATATTGTGTTGACTTGAAGTTATTACCGGTAATTCTTAATACACTTTAATACTACAAATGTAAGAAAATAAACTTGTTACCAGTATTATTTTTTTTTACAAAATGAGAATATTATTCTGTTGACTTGAAGAAGTTAAGTTATTAATTTTTGAAACACTGTAATCCTATAAGAGCATTTATCTTAAATTTCATTATTACGTTTGGATTTGTGCACTCAAATGTAAGATATGTTACCAGTTTTCTTTTATTTTACAAAAAAAATATTAGTGTTAAATTCCATTGGTCCATCTGCTGCATAATTATCTTAATTCCAATTTTCTGTTTATTATCCTGAATAAGCTTTGGTTGAAAAATACTGTTTTTATGGTTGAAAAATACTATTTTAATGCAATTAGTAAAAAAATAAAAAAAATTGATTTAAATAAAAAAAATCCAATTTAAATCAAATAAATCAATTTTTTTTATTTAATTTTTTTTTTTAATCATGATTTTTTCCAACCCTGTTTATAAGACATTATTCAGTGTACCAAGAGTCTGCCTGTCTGGTTTTAAATGTGTGTCATCTTTTGGCAGATATGTCTTCACACAGGAGGACATGGATACAGTAGCTCCATGTTATGAGCACTTCCTTCAGTGCCTGGAGTGGCTGCGCTCTCAGAATCTCTCACACATTGACTGGACACTACAAGAATTACCCACCAACTTTGAGCAGTACTTTACATATGAGCGCACAAGGCACTTAGTGCTGTGGAAGATCCAAGCTACACTTAAGTGACCTCCAGGGTGTGGTAAGAAGTTACAGTACAGTAGTACTTTATTTTTCACAAAGAAGATTGTCCTCTGTTTGTAGAATGTAGTGAGAGCCATTTTGGATACAATGTGATACAAATACTGTACAGTAGTAAAAACAGTGATACATTGAAACAAGTATTTTGTTGTGCAAGGACTGGTGTTAAACAAATATTTGGATGGTGTATGAGATGTACTGTACATTTCTTTCTTTTGTGAAATGTCAGAATAAAAAGTTTTTGTGCATACAAAGAAAGTTGGATCATATATTAGTGGACAGGAGTAGTGTTAGTTCTCCCTCACCAGGTGTACTAATGGGTGGCGAGTCTGCTGAACAGAGAACTACAAGTACTTTACTGTACTCATCAAAGTTTACATCACATCACACAACTGTGTCCTAATTGTGTAAGAGTGAGCAAGTATGAACTGGTTACTCAGTCTTGGTATGACAATAAGTTTGGTGCATCATTGGGTACTGTACCAACGTTTCTGTTGGAATTACTGTACTGTCTATGATATAAAACTGTGCAGTTTAGAATTTACTCATGTTAGCTGATAAGTAACTTTCCTTAAATTCGTTCAAGCACAAATTTTTTATGTTTTACTGAATGTGGTTTTGGTCATTTTTCTGGGATATGGAGAGTAAAACATTGTTGTAACAACTCAGACTAATTGTACTGTACTGTACTGTTATGAGTATCACCTAAATTATCTGACCCATTTTTATCTTAGTGTCAAAAACAACTTGTCTTGGTTGTTTTCCACACATGCTCCTTGTTCTATCCATAATATACAGTAGTGTACAGGTTATTTAGGTTATGTTTTAAAATGGGTCAGTTAATTTATCACCATAAATTAACTGAGCTACATGTACAACTGTGTTTGGTGATTTTGAAAGCAGAAGTTCTTGCACTTTTTTCTTACCATTTCATTAACCTTCAACCATGAACCTCAAAATTACAGAAAGAACTATGCACCACAGTGAAAGCCCATGAATTTACACACCTGAGCTCAACAGAAATCCTAACAACGAATCAATTTTCCCAGCACAAATAATATATAAATAATAGGCTAAATTACCTTCCAACGCGCTTTCAGCAGTCTATGTTGAAGTTCTTAGCACAGGCTAACTTATCTTATCATATACAGTATCACAGTTCTCATTGATCTACAAAAAATACCGGTAATAAAAACCTTTTCTATTTTTCACACTTAATATAATACCCAGTAATCTACTTCAACCTCCTATTGTTTACAACGACGCATGACGCATCACGCACCACCAGCTGTTGAGTGTATCAGCTAGACGGTACACATGTTTTTTGAATTGTTTTCAGTTAAAAAACTGTTACATCACATGTATATTTTACCTTAGCTGTGCCTGAATGAATATATACTCGGAAATAAATAGTAGTTTTGCTGAAACGTGATGTATTTTAATGTAAAATAGGATAAAATACATGAAGAAAACATAAGATTTTACCTAACCTTCCGATGTTCAAGAGAAGTTACTCGTTTTTTTTATAGTTTTTGGTTAAAATATTGTTATATTACAATGGTATTCTATTCATACTGTGCTTGATATAATGCATTCACGGAAATGTAATATTTTTGCTGAAATGACGTACTGTACATATTACAGTGGAAAGTGGGATCAAATTGTGACAAAAACAGTGACTTTTGCTTTTTTTCGTTCAAAAGATGTTACCATAATCGCTTTTCGAATGATTTTCAGTTAAAAAACTGTTGTATTACAATAATATTCTATCCTAATTGACTTGAATAAATACTACGATACCATATTTCGGAATATTTTCATTAAAATCCATCAAAATCATTTTCCTTGTCATCGTCTGCAGCACCAAACAGCTTCTCCCAGTCCTCTCCTTGATCAGGGCTAGAAGCTACATGTTTTTCTAATCGTTTTCAGTTAAAAACTATTACATCACACGTATATTTTACCTAACCTGCGCCTGAATGAATATATTCTCGGAAATAAATAGAAGTTTTGCTGAAACGTGATGTATTTCAATGTAAAATAGGATAAAATACATGACGAAAACAAAAGACTTCACCTAAGCTTCCGATGTTCTTGAGATGTTACTCGTTTTTTTAATAGTTTTCGGTTAAAATTCTGTTATATTACAATGATATTCTATTCATACTGTGCTTGATATAATGCATTCACGGAAATGTAATATTTTTGCTGAAATTACGTACGTATCACAGTGGAAAGAGGGATAAAATCGTGACGAAAACAATGACTTTCGCTTTCTTTCGTTCAAAGGATGTTACCGTAATCGCTTTTTGAATGGTTTAGTTAAAAAACTGTTGTATTACAACAATATTCCCTCCTAATTGACTTGAATAAATACTTGAATGGAAATATGTATACAATATTTTTGTTGAAACTACCCGAGTTTCAGTGTAAAGTGGTGTAAAGTGTCGTGTCGTAATAATAAACAATTTGCCTTCGGCACTCGGTGTTTCGGGCACGGCAAACCTCAGTTTATAGGACGTAGAGCGTTTTTACTGAAGGATTTGTTGTTCCATTACCCTCAAAAACGTGGGTCGACATATAAATGAGGAATATCATAAATTAACGATTTCTTGGTCAAAAAATCGGGGTCGACCTATAAACGAGGGGGGGTTATAGACGAGTATATACGGTAAACCTAGTCATGCCTATGTGTGTTTCTGATAATTACCATAACATTATATATTTATATATTTAGCTGTTGTACAAACACAAGGCCTCACACATGCCACTCAGACTGACAGACTTGACAAGTTTTACCAACCATAAAGACAGTTGAAGCTTTAAACATCACTCACAATGGATCTTGAATATTCCAACTGTAATCAGACATATCTAAGTTGCCTCAACAATTGCAACCCCAGTTGCAATTGGGGTTGCAATATCAAATTCTGTGTCATTACTAAGGAATAACGAAGTCTCTGGTGCACTGCACTCTAAGATTAAGAGAAAACGGACGACTCAGGCGTCCTGAAGTGAGAGAAAGCGGACTCCTTTGGGGGGCACTCAAATAAAGAGAGACATTGCTACATGTTTTGTGGACTACCCACTTAACAGTATCCTTTTCATCACTTTTCACCATAACATTATATATATATTTAGTGGGTCTAAATGGTCGTAAATTGGGAAACTTGGGGTTAGGTGCCTGGAACCAATTAGAATAAATCCCATAGGGTTTATGTAATTTCGGACAACGTCCATTTCGGTTAACATCACGTTTCCAAGAACATGTCTAGGACGTTAACCGGCTCATGACTGTACTTTAATTATGTAAAATAATTGTTAAAATGGCTACAAATTTTAATATAACACTTGGAAAACCGATTACTGTATTGACGGACTAATACTACAGCTAGTGAGCAGGCGAAAACATGTTGGGAAAAATTCGTAAGGAATTCGTTAACCGAATTTTTTTCATTAACCGATATGAATATCCTTATGGAAGGTAATTCGTTAACCGAAATTTCGTTAACCGAGGCGTTCGTCAACCGAGGAACCACTGTATTTAAAGCAAAAACACTTAAACATGCACGAACGCTGTGGAAGCCTAACAAAGACTGGGGACACTTGGGGACGCTGTGATGCTCCGCGAGAGAGCGTAGTGCATCGAGATGAGAGAGGGTGATGCGAGGAATTACTGTTCTATCAAATCAAATTTTATGCACAATTTCTTGTTGCGTCAAGATGCTTGTGGCCACACTTGCTACTCCAGTAACACCCAATAAAATTTTTCCCCAACCATGCATTTAGTTAGTCACCAGCCACCATGACAGATTATGTCGGTCACTCCCCCTCCCCCCTTAGAATAAGGTCCCGGAGAAAGATATCCCACTACTGTATACTGTATAGTACTTACTTGAGAGTGGTGACCACTAGTAATAGTGAATCAGGGCCCAGATTCACTAACACCACTGCTGAGATACCAAGTTCATAACTGCCAGGAGATTTGAAGTCCACACAATCTACCATAAGAACGATTCACCAGTGGTTCATAACTTAGCTGTGGTGTGCATATGAACTCTGGCATTAGTTCAGAAAATGCCAACAGGTAGCTGTGGTGTGTTTATTTTTATTTTCCTCTCGGCCAATCACTGCGACTGATACATAATTGAGTAGGAGACATAAGCCAATCATGTCGCAATGACAGGAGACCACATCAGATGCACGTATTGTGATCTGTTGACAATATTTATAGAAGAAAATAGATCATGGAGTTTTCATTAATAATAATATTAATAAAAGTAATACTGTAATATGTAGTAATAATGATAATAAAAGTATTAATGATGATAATATTAACAATAATAATGTACAGGAGGTCCCCGGGTTCCGTTCCTGAGGACGTTCATAAGTCGGATTTGTACGTCAGTTGGAACATATACTATGTGCATACTGTACTTACAGAACAATGTTTAAAATCCCACTATATCATAGCCTAAGTCCTTATATACATCTAAAATCACTTAATTTAACACAAAAGAAGAAATAGAATGACAAAATTCAGTAAATGAAAGTAAAAAATAAGTCGTCCTGTAAATAAAATACTGTAAATTTAAAGTTTAACCTCGTTCATATGTTGGGGGACCTCCTGTAATAGGTAAAAATCTATTTTTATCCCAGGTTCCCCAATTGGTTTGTTATTTATATAGGGAGAAAAAGGAAAAACTAGTATTTTATGTACAGTATTATTATTGCCAGCGCAAATTTATATTTTTTGAGTATTTTAAACATTAAGACCCCCCTAATTACCAACAATTGGAAAAAAAATTATTTTTACTGTACTGTACTGTACTGTACTGGTTCAGTCCCAGGAAAACACCAGACTGTACAAAGTGAATCTAATTAAAAATAACACCTGTGTGGAGGGGCTATGGGTGTTAGGTTCCAGGCTCATTATTTACCCATGACTGGCTATAGGTAAGGTAGATCTTGTCATCAGCTGGCCAGTACAGTATATATAAATGTCCATCACACCAGTTCTCTTTTAAAGAAAATTTTCTTTGTGCTTTCATTGCATTCTACAAGAAATAACCGATCACCCAAGCGGCTAATGAGTCGATCATTTGGTGAAAAGGATAAAAGAAAAGGGAAAGTAAAAGAGACATGACCAAGCGGCTAACGAGCCGATCAGTGGTGAAGAGGATAAAAGTAAAAGTAAAATTGAACTTGGTGATAAAATAAGAACAAAAAAGTTGTCACATACATTGCAGTACAGCTTGCCCTTAAAATTCGGTGGGGTGGAGGGCAATTTTACTCATGTGCAAAGAAATGTATATTCCCTTTATGTGTTTGCTCTTAGGACAATTATTTCTTTTACCTATACAGTACTGTATATAATAATAATAATTAACGGTTTATTGAAAAAATTCTGCAACCCGAAGGCTGAAAATATGCATTGGACAAAAAGTACTTATTACATACAAAGAGATGGGGTGGGTGGGTCGTTTAACAAAAGCTTTCATTATTGAAAGAAGAAGGAACAATGATTGAACATACAAATTATTATAGTTTACAGTTGATGGCCCGGGCCTGGGCTGGTCATGGAGACACCAGGTGGTGTGGTGTTCATGTGGTGCAGTAACTCGTCCTCGGGTGTTGATATAAGGGACCTCACATGGTCATGGGGACACCGGGTGGTGTAGTGTTCACGTGGTGTAGTAACTCATCATCGGGTGTTGATATGAAGGACCTCACATGGTCTTGGAGACATCAGGTGGTGTGTGTTCACGTGGTGTAGTAACTCATCTTCGGGTGTTGATATGAAGGACCTCACGTGGTCATGGGGACACCGGGTAGTGTGGTATTCACGTGATGTAGTAACTCGTCCTCAGGTGTTGATATGAAGGACCTCACGTGGTCATGGGG